AATAAACAGTAAGTACCCCTCTATCAGGTCACAGAGAAAGAAGCATTACACATTGGATAGAAAGTAGGTAGCTCGCCATCTAGTAACGGAGAAAGAAACATGACAATAAACAGTAAGTACCCCTCTATCAGGTCACAGGGAAAGAAGCATTACACACTGGATAGAAAGTAGGTAGCTCGGAGTCATCTAGTAACGATCCTAGTCGCAGCAGATAGAGTCATGACGGAAGTCAACAATTTGTAACAAGGGAATCGCTGTTCTTGGACTATTGCAAACCAATTTACACATAAACCGAAAAAAGGGTGTCCTCCCATTAAGCAGACAGCCAGTTCGCAGACACCTTAAAACAACAACATTTACGGTTCAGTGAACAGATTATCTACTACCTGTTACCTACACATTATAATGGAATGGTCCAAATTAAAACACAGGAACAAACTGAAGCTATATTATTTACTTTGAAAGATTGACGAAAAGACAGTAATTTGAATCTTTATTGCTGCAATATAAAAACAGTATATTTTCATAAACATTTCGGTTTAACCTTCTAGTCTAACGGGAGTCAGCATCATTATATTGAAAACATTAGCTTAGCTATTAGAAATTGCGACACTGCTGTATCATATAAATCAAGTAAAGACAAATGTGAACCTAAATATTATTCATATGGAATAAAGAAGTTATATGTTTTGCACACAATATTAAGATATATGACCAGTGCATTTAATTACGATTTATTTAGAATAACTATTTAAAATATGACACATCATGTCAATGTGGCCATGGATGTGAGAATGTTCTTCATTACAATATCCATTGTACATTGTATACTACTCAAAGACATAAACAATTATAATCTATAGAAAGTATTGTTAAAATTAGAACACTGATTTGTATTAATCGTATCTTACATGGCAATGCAGGTGTTTCATTTACTGCAAATCAGAATGTTTTCAAATATGTACATATCTATATCTCTCCAACAAAACGTTTTCTCAGTTAACTTCTGTTGTACATATGCTATTATTGGGAGGGGGCTTTTCTATCAATAAACACAATCAAACCCCTCAGTGACAAACCTGTTTTTATATTCGATAGTATTTTGAGACGAGAAACCATTTATCATTTAAAAACAACAAAGTTCTATTTACACACAATCAAACTTCTCAGTAACGAACCTGTTTCAGGCTCACCCTGCTCTACTCACTAGACAGTGGACTGTTCCATTATACCCGTAGGTGTTACCCTAATTAACCTTCTAGTTCAGTGTCTGTCAAATGGGAGATAACCGAAAAAAGCATCAAATTGATTTAATAGTCTGCTACGCGTGGATGCACCACTCTTCGTGTGTTTTGAATGGCTATGTTTTGGGGCAAATTACACAGACTACAAGTTATTCATTGTGTATTTTTCATTGATTATCAATAAATATATAACGTCAAAGCCAGAAAACAATTGGTATCGATTATCTTCACCTGGGCGTTAAGGGCAAAGATGTGTTTATTGGAATCACTGAAAATCAGTGATGACACCAGGTGTTCGCGTAAAGAATGTGCAGTGACTTCAAATCATAATACCTTTTCGCAACAGAAACATCCTACAGGCTTGTAAATTCGTTGGATGTATTTTATTTGCCAATATCCCTTAAATACTCGATTTTTATTCCTGTCATATACCTCAAACGTATTCTAAATTCATGCAACAATCACATGTAAGTTGTTTGTTGCAATCTCTAACAGCATGTGTTTATAAAACGTGGTGGACAGTTATTTCATTGTGTTCGTTTCTCCAGCCAGAATTCCAGGAACCATTTAAGGAATCTCTTAAGACTAAAACATGTCCTTTTCTCGTTGGCGGTAACGGCTTCTACGGCAATTCTTCAGAGGGGTCCGAGTTAGTAATATCTACAACTACATATTTCTCCGCCCCATTTACTTAACAAGCACCAAAGCAAACAAGGAAGGACTATCATGCCCACTGCTCTTAAATTCTGAACCTGGCGTCTCCCAGAGCCTCACTGGGAAGAGATTCTTGCACCGACAGTAACGACTTTCACAGATAGGTTCCTCTTCATCTAAGCCCCTTAATTTTCACCGCTATGCAGGAAAAGTCGACGTTCGTAAGTCATCATAGAAAACGACATTTTAGCAACAGGGTACAAAGGCGAGAATGATTGCTGAATAAACATGACAACAGTTTCCCCACATGACACCAGAGGGCGCTCCTGTAATTTACCATGCATTGAACGCCACCTATCGGAAATTTGATTGCCCTGTGTCTGATCATTGTGCAGTTAAACTTAGTTCAGGGCTTCGTTATGCCTAAAAAGTGACCAAGAGGAGACATTAGTCAGACTTCATTAAGTCTGAGAAAGAAGGAAAGGGTAAGAATCTGTTTTTGAAGGCTGTCACATAGCCCCAACACTTTCAGTGACCACAACATTACATCTGTAGACCAAACCTGGCTTTTGAATTCTTGGCTGTGGAAATTCGCTTTCATGAGAAATTGACATTTAAAACGTCAGTCGCCAGAAAGTCTTCAAAAAGGTGTCAATAAACTGCATTGTTGAGAGCGAAGTCCATATCTTCAAATGAAGATAACATAAATGGGTATAACAGATTGGTTGGCTTTTTCTTAAGTTTTAAGTCAAGAGAACAATGTGCACTTCATTGCAATAACAGATAAATATCGTTTTTGAAAATTTGAAAAACCCCGATACGTTCCATTTAGGCGTGTAGAGCCATGTGATTGAGCACCCGTGATATGTCGTCTCTAACGACTTCTTGTCAACAGCTAATGACACGACAGAAAGTCGATGTATATATAATGTTTCTGTGACTTATCCATTGTCACCCTACACAAAGACGCATCAGACAAGGCAGTGACAATATATTTTGTGTTAATTGTTGGTTTCTTGTGTTACATTTTCTACGTCTTTAAATGTTTGGCCCTGTGAAGATCCGGGTTACATTGGTCTTCAGGAACATATGCTTGTCGTAAGAGGCGACTAACGGGATCTGGTGGCCTGGCCCGCTGATTTGATTGAAGCCGGTCATCCTATACAACTGATGCTAATTTGTTTATTTATAGAAGTCATATATGTAGTTGGAATAGTGCCGGCGTTAGACAATAAACAAACAAGCCTACATCTAGGGTCATTATATACTATCGGTCAAAGGAAAGCATAGATCCAAGGTTTGTTGAATCTGAGAAAAATAAAATGAACAAATGGTTGTTCGATGGTGATGTATCTGGCATGGTTGCTTTTGGAACATAAGTATTAAGTATTTAAGGCGATTATTTTTAGTGTAATAACGTTTTGATGTTTGTAATTGTTCTGTTACATCCAAGTGTATAAGTATAATTCCTTATCCCTTCAGTTAGGTATTTAATCTACATCACTCATGGTGTTGGTGCCAAAAGGGTCGAACATAGGACGTGTATGCTTCTTTGGCAGTGTGAGTGGTGGGTGGCTGTCTTTGGAATGACGGGTATAACAATTTCACAAAACATTGTATGATGTTATTATTACTAACTAGATGTCTCGCTTTGGAAACGTCACATGGCCAGGAAGCTTGTTGTGTAATACCACTATTTGTTTCTCTTCTGTATTTTCAAGAATGAAAAATACCAAATTTTAAATAAAATAGAATTTGCACGGCAGCATTGCGCAAAATGAACCAGCAATTCATCATCTACTTTCACACTGTAGCAATTTCCAAACTTTCTGGAAGTGATTTTCAGACATGTTGAAAGAGAGGTGTACACATGTAGTGTCAACCTTAGACGAGATACTCATTTTTCGTCTGGTAAAGAATTTTGGTTCAGATAAAACCTTTGACCTGATATTATTTATGGCAAAATGTAACATTTACAATTGCGGTTTCTAACACCAGTCTAAGTTTGCTTTTAAAGTGCTTCTATTACATGATATTATATCCAGAAGAACAGGTCTTACGCGAAAAGTGAAAAAGGTAGGTTTTATCAGAAATGAATGCTTGACCATTCTCGTTGTGACTGACACACTTGGCACAACAGCCTGTATCTTAAATTTGTTGCATTCATATATATTAAAAGTGAATATATGAGTGATTGTGTTGTCCTTGTCCCTTTTATTTTTCTAACAAGGAACTCCTGTTTCCCTGGATATTTCTGAAATAAAAAAGACATTACCAACCAGTCAGTGTGTAGCCTTGCGATGCCTTGCTGGAGGAACAAAGTTTCCATAACGTTTCTGCAAATGTTATGTCGATAATTCAAATGATTTGAATGTATATGCATTGAGTATTAATTCAGAGGCAATCACATTTAAACAGCCTTCGAAATTCACGCTTGTCCTCTAACCCGAGACTACTAATCTATGCTGCGGTCAAGTAAATATCCAATGATACTCCTAATTGACAAGTGCCATTTGAGGGCTATAATTCTGAACCAGTTCTCAATTCTTCAGCTTTGATAAAATCTTGAAATGAAACTAACAAAAATTCATTTTTGTGTCATATAAATAAATTCAGTGATACGTTTAATAGGTCGTATTTTCAAAAGACAACAGTAACATACGCGTAAGTGAATTAATTCATTAGATAACAGTACATGCATAGTCACGAGTCTTTTTTATCCCGACTGCCTCCGTGGTGTAGTGGTTAGAGCGTCCGCCCGGAGAGCGGAAGGTCGCGGGTTCGATCCCCGACCGCGTCATACCAAAAGACGTTAAAATATGGTACCTGCCTGGCGCTCGGCATTAATGGGTACAGCAAGGACTGGTAATGTGTCTGAGTGGGGTATTCATGCGGCATGGTATCTCAGTGGGCTAGCACTATAAAACCAGCTTCAGTCTGGGCTAGTACAAGCAGCCGCACTTACACATACACACGCATGCACGTCGTCATATGAGCGAAATATTCTCAAGCACGACGTTAAACCCAATTTCACCTCACCTCACCTTTTTTATCCCCTCTGGAAAATAGACACATTTGGTTTCATGAAGTCCACTTATAAGCTGACAAATGCTGAAATTGATTTATTTCCATTTTCTCAGTTTATTGTACTGTAACAGTAAAATAATTTCAAATTGAATTCTGTTTTCAGTAACACGCATGAGTATATGTTATTAAATATAAGCTGGTGATAATGAACTGACAACTCCCAAAATCTAGCAGTGAAATAGTACACACGACAAACTCAACACCATGCATAGGAATGCATTGATTCCATAACGTACTTTTTCGTTCGTAATAATAACCTTTGGGAAGAAAACTCTACTGGGGATATAACGTAACATTAATCTGAAAAGCCAATGCTGTGGGCGTTTTATACGAATAAAAGCTGTCAACGAAGGCGAATACACACAAGACATTAGGGTAAAAAACAACTAAAACTTCAAAAGACGGATCTTCACATCAGGGAAATATCTCCGACTAAATGATGTCTCTGCATTTATCATTTGTCCCAACGTCGTATGATTACCATTGTAGCATCAGAGTCAAACACTTTAAATAAATAGAATCAGTATCAAATAAAACAGTTAAACAGCACATAATCGCCTCGTAAGAGCTTTGATGTCATGATAGGCGGCGCGCTATGATAAAGGTACTGACATCTTTAATGGTAGCTGTTGTATCGATATCACGCCTGACAAGGGCCGACCGAAACTCAACAAGAGGTGTTGCAATCTTAATACAAGCCCATAGCATCTGGATTCTATAAACACATGGAAATGGCCTTTCAACTCACTGCAACTCCACATCAGTAAGCGCCTGGCCTTTCATGAAACAAAGCACAAATAAACACTCCCGATAGAGTTTCCAGTGACGAGAGGAAGACAAGGGGTTACCGGCCTTGGAATGGCGTCGACGGGACATCCGGTAGCCATGTTATCTGTCGACGAAATCGTTTCTCGCCGCCAAACCACAATCAGGTGTGGGTGATGGGTTTCTGATTGTACTGAAATCGACAGCGAGAAATGAAAATGTGCTTCCTTGGTTTTGAAGACTGTTTTCCACAGCTGACCTGACTTTTAAGGCGATGTTTACATAAGTGCAGCGAAGCAATGACAAACAGGCATGTTTACGCTGCCGTTTTATCTTCATCATCATTCTTTGAGGTCCAAATAACCTATAAAGGTAGAAGATGAGGATGTAATTTGGAAACAGGCATTTCATGTTGATAGTTTGTCTACCTAATTATCAGTTATGTGTTTTTCCCTAGTCTGAACTTTCTAGCACTATGAGAGTGCGTTTAAGGTTATAAAAAGGTTGCTAATTGATGTACATCGTCTGTTCGATTCGAACAGATTGTTTTGAACGTGACACATCTACGTTGAATCGGAGATAACGAATAAGCAGCGAACCCAACTCTCTCTGTTAACAATTATAACTGACCTATGTCCATACGAATGTCCTCATAGGATGCGTGCGTACGTAGCGTGCGTACATACGTGTGTGTCGCCACTTGTTGTTATGGCTTAACAATATTCAATACATAACTGGAAGTGAAAGATAGTCTGTCTGTATTTATTCAAAAAGTGTTGCAAGAAAGCCTCGAATATGGACTAGGATGGTAAGGTAGTAAGTTACCCTCATCTGTTGCTGCTTTTAAGATCTGACGTATAACATCCACATTAAATCACGAAAGATGTTTGACTGTAACGCATAGGCATGGACGTGGAGACCATACGGAGCTTGCGTTTGATTTAAAATATCTCCCTGTTGTCTGATTTGTTCTTTAGATAAGAATGTTTCACAGTGTGTCTTCAGTGAAAACATTATACAATATAGACTTGGCAATTTCTTTGGATTTTGCCTGTTACCTAAACGTCTGCTGACGGACATGTCATATAGATGTACAGTGGGGATTTTTTCACAGAGAAGAAAATAACATATTGCTTTAAACATTTCAATTTGTTTTGCAGTTTACATGAGGATTTATCATAGTTTTATGATTCTGTTGACGGGAAACATGGACAATCGTTTTATACGTATAAAATCCATTTTGTATGCAGAAATTGTCCTCTTTTTCAGTATTCTCATTTCAAGGGTTGTAGTTTAATTCCCAATAAAAACTTTTAGAGGTTTAAAGCGTTAGTTTGATGATAATCTCACTATGCACGTGTTATATGCATGATGGGAGCATTGTGTGATATAATAATGACATTTTGTGCGCGTTAGACGTTTGATTGAAAAAGCATAATGTACGTGTTATTTGTAGGAGAATAATAAGTTGATATTAGGGTTGGGCGTGTGCTTATACTGACGGTGTGTACATGTAAGATGTATGATCATGCTGATAATGACAGTATGCACGTGTCAGACGTATGATGATAATATCAATAAGAACGTGTTAGAATTTGATGATAATGACATCAATCACGTGTCATATTATGATGATAATATCAATAAGTACGTGTTAAATGTTTGATAAAAATACCCTTTCGCCTTAAGAAACATTTATTGGACATACCTACACAAGAGAGCATGGCCGGTAGGGTTTTATACATTGCCGTGCTGATATCTTCCAGTTATTTCTTACCTTCAAACATGTCGACATACACACGACCTTCCTCTGTGAAGTAATCGGTTCGACATGTTCAGCACAAATACAAGCCTCCTTTTCCACATCCTCCCCCGACACTGTGTCTGCATATAACATAACATTAAAAATAGGTTTTTATCCTCTCCCGTCCATCACCAGTTAAAGAAAATAAAGTTAAAGATTGTTGTTTATTTGACTAGAGGAACAAGGCCTATTGGATTTAATGTCGTCCACCCAGGTGGTGGAGTATGCATGGACAACAGGACACGTGGAGTGTGTGAATGAGAAAATGTGTACAAACCCTCAGATTTGAGGGTTTTTTCATTGCTCTAGAAACGGGGCTATTTTGTTTAAAATCATTTTGCACCTTGTTTTGTATATTTTCACGACGTGGAATGTTTGTAATTATTTGTGTTAATTTTGTTGATCCCTCCCTCCCCATGACCCTCTACGATAATGTTTTCAATTTGTATTTTACACGCTTATGGTATTGTGTAAACTGACTGAAAAGGTCATTGCCTTTTAGCCTATGTGTATGAATGATTAAAAATTAGATCTCTCCCTGAGTGAAAATCAAGATTAACGATTGCAGAAAACAATTTCCGTGTTATCGTGCCACCATTAAAATATTCGAATGCGAACTGACAGCACAACAGCAGAGCAAAGTAATGTCACTGTAACATAATATTCCCTAACTCTGAAGTTGTTTTATGTTCGGCAAGTATTTTACTATATCTGGTGCTCTTGGAGATGCCTCTACTTGTTAGAGGCGACTAACGGATAGGGAGGTCAGGTCAACTGACTACTGACCCATGTCTGTCACCGGATTGACTGATCCAGACTCAAATATCAACTGACTTCGTGCAGCCCGAATACTGACATGTGCGGCGTTAAAAAGCAAACAATATTCTATTTTGTCAAACTATAAACACGGCTCTGTTCGTGTGAAATAATTAACAAAAACACCGTAAGACAACAATACTTACGCGGACATCGCAGAGCGTTTGTACGAAAATGGTGTGAACAGCACTAGGTACAGAACATGGCCGCTGTTATCATCGTCATTTATTGAAGAAATATTAGCTTGTCGTACATGTCATCGTTTTAATAAATTTCTTGATAATTCACAGAGTGAGAGAAATATGTTCGAAAATTAATTTTCTTTGATAATATGCTAAAAATTAGGCAACAAAAGAATGTCTACTGCTAACATTTGTGTCGGGCAATACCGCCTTTGAAATGGTGATATATTTGCGACAGTCTTGTCACGTGCGGTGTCTGAAGTATCATTAGATGAATACAATATGGTGTAATACCAGATTGTAACAATCTAACACTCCCCGAATGTAATCATCTACGCCGCTATTAAACACCGGAAGCTTTCCGTACCTATACATTCGTTGTGGGGCTGAAATCCCGCGGGTTGCCTTCAAAAGAGGCCGAACGTGGCCAAATCTCGCGAGATGCGATAACAGTATGTACAGTAACCCGCCTTGCACGCGCAGCATGGCGGGTGGGCGGAGTCATGCGCAGTGGGGATTCTGGCTTTTGTTTCATGCTTCTCTCTCCGGATTCATTCAGCGTTCATCCCCTTACATGATAGAGAAGCATGTATAGATCCCAACGACAAGCTTGACACCAAGGAATTTCCGATATTTTGGCTTAGATAAATTTGCTTACTTGCTATCTAATTAACTTTCTACCTCGTGCTGTCAATTTATTAAAAGCTGTGACGTCACACACGTTCCGACGCTGCCTTGAGTTGTCGGCACGCTGGTGAGTCTGAGGTCGGCAAAGCATGTTAACTATCTCGGAAATTGCCCTGGGACATCTCCATTTTTCAACATTTATCATTGCCCGAGCCATAGAAGGAGGGGGAACGGTGTCATACGGGTGAAACAAGCATCTGCCAGTGTTAAGAGCTTAATATTGATATCTGACACTGAAAACAATGTCACTATTTATTACATTGTGCAAATAACACCGCTATTGTCCTCTTACATGCTCCAATTTCTCATGTCGTCGGCTCCTACAATTTTCAATTCGTTAAAGTCCCCTCCTACAAATTCACCGACCATCTATCAAAGATTGGGAGATTGGACTTGCCAATAGCGTTGAAGTGTTTCCAATCAGTTAAGTGGACTGGTGTAAGTTTCTTGTTTAGCCAAATGCCCCAATCAGAAAGTTTACTTGAAGCATCAACGGGTACTGGGTTCGAGAATCATATTGTGCCGGAATCAATATGGTTCCAATGATACATTTCAAGCCACGTGACTTTGTGTAGGATGTGATATTGACACGGGTGATATATCTCCGTCACCCAGTGTAATGGCGATAACACAGCACGTGCGTGTGATACTGCAAAAGATAGCAAATATATGACATTTTGATAGCACTTTTTCCATGAAGTGAATGTTTCGCTGTTCCCTAAGCTATGATCTTCATCTAAAGAAAAGCATTATGACTGAAACTAACAGGATTTAATTGATGTTTTCTAAATACACGTGCTTAACATGTCTACCTATAGTAGCTATTATCAAATATTATTAGCAACCCAAATCCTAAACCCTGATTTTCATCTCAAGAAAACCATTATGATTGAAACTAACAGGTTTTAATTGATGTTTTCTAAATACACGTGCTTAACAACATGTTTACTTATATCACTATTATTACCTATTATTAGCAACCCAATTTGAAGAATATAAAATCATGTCTTATCTTTTTCAGGTTCTCTTTTGTGGGGTTTTCTGTTTCGTCATAGATGATTAATATGTTACACTATTTCTAACAGTGATGTAATTGGTTGGAAAATTCTACTTAAATGAGTTTATGAGGGATGAAATGAGATCCGCAACGCGTTCCTGTCTCCATGTTGCTTTTAAATAACACGTAACTGCCATTAGGTTTCAAACTGAAGTTCAACCGTGCCATACTGCCATCTTACCGAACGAACAGCCTGGACACATGATTATTAAGCAATACATGATAATTTGTAAACAGAGAAAAAATTAGCTCATACCATATCATTTGAGCGAGTTACATGAACTGACATACCCCTCCCCTACCTCTCCCACGCCCCCTGCTGGGCTGACATAACAGCTGGCCAACGACGTACTTGTTAACACACTTTTAAATACAACATATTAGTAAAACATCGTTTTTTATTCATCCATATCTTTATCTGAATTTTATAGTTACAAAGGCCGGAGCTACATGTATTAAATTCATTTTTACAAAACATTCTCTCCTTTTTGATGCCATCATATTCTCATGACACCCATCAAAAGCTGGATATGTACTTAGGGAAGCAGTGGCCTAATTCTAAAACAAATACAAGGGAGTATTTCATAGTCTTCAGTTTATGACATAGTCTATCAAATATTGAACTTGGTATATAATTTGTAATATTCGTTGCGGGATTTCTTAAAAACAAAGCGTTTGTTGACTTTCATGGAATTGGGGGGTCAGATGTTATCCAAGCGTCAATAATAATATTTGTTTATCTCTAACATTAGCGGTGGGTAATGAAAAAACAACACCCCCGTCAAACAATGTAGGAACGGCAAATACTGTGCATATTTTACATATAGGGAAAATACTACCTATCAACCGCCATGTTAATCACATTTGTTTCTAGTTGCTATTGGTGGACATCCTTGATGACTTGCACCATGTAATCATTCTAAATGTGCTATACCAAATGGTAATACTATATTTCTTGCTGGGAAACGTAATTGTTGTCAGGAAATATATTTTGATTTGATAAAAAAGAAAACAAACAACAGCAAACATTCAGTCTCATCAAATGGCTGGCATGGGATGAAGAACTGCCCCAGAGTCTCAAACACAGACGATCCTAAGGCAGAAACAGTATATATATGAAATACGACCATGTTTTCATGCTACGTAGAATATTCATTATCAAACAATAGACTGGCCAGAGTGCGTTTTTATTCTGTTCTAAATTATCCGTTTTATTTCTGAATTAAAGTGCTTTAGAATTTGTGATTTCGGTTAAATGTAATCAATGTTTTAAGCAAATTTCCGGGGAAAACATGGAATGTTAACAAAATCTATTATGAATCAATTGCATAAATTTATTTGATTTGATATTCATCCGAATTAATCCTTACACACATTAAACGATTGGGTAGTTTCCTGAAATGAAATCAGAGATTCAATAGCAGAAACGCCCATGCATGTTAAAGGCAAACTTCGGGCCAAGAGAAAGTCATTATTGCCGTGAACAAAGAAACGAAATTGATGTCTTTTTTGTTTGCTTGTCCGTACTATAACAATATCAAATACAATAAGAAGCATTTTATCAATTAAAAGAAATATTTAATAGTAAAAAATAATGCCCGAAAAGAGAATACTTGCAAGAAAATATCAAACCCTTTTCAAGTGAGATGTAAAATTATTTCCAGATGACAAATTCCCACTGAAGAGCAGACATTATACTTCCCGCGGTGCCAAGCACACGAGCAAGATACAAGCGCTTGTCTGTCTGAAACCTATCACAGATGGAACAAGTCTCGGCTAGATACGAGAACAAATGTAGGCAAACACAGACTTTAGCGAAAAGATCTTTCAATATATTTTTTTCAGCACAAACAAAAATGTATAACGACTGTCGATATACCACGAGAATGAATACCTGAATTATGTAAAGTATGTTTTCTGTGAAAAAGAGTGTACGGGTTTAAGGTGTATTTTGGTAATCTATCTGGAATCTTGAATCATAAAATACACAGACATGAAATACAAGTTGTTGGTTTCAGTATGTTTCGTCAGCGCCCTACAGTCTTGAAACTTCCAAAGTACTCGAGTATAAATGGATATCTGAATTATTTACGTAGCATTTTTTCATATAAAAATGTTTCTATTTATATCAGATGTTGTAGCAATTATTGTCTGGTATACTGAGTAATTAAACAATTTGCTAAAGTTAGATGAAAGATCTTTTAATATTTTTTAGCATAACCAACACAGCCGACTGTCCAAAGATTGTCGATATACCCCCGATCAGAAATGAACACCTGAATTATTATGTGAGTGATATGATTTTTCAAATTTTTCTGGGTAATCGTCATCTAGTGAAAACGTATACGAATCACAGACAGTCTGACTAAACAAATTATACTTCAACAAGGAACAGTTACTACGTGGTTGAGATATTTTCCCTATGAAAATACGTATATGCAGTTATTTGGTAACCATTATTTAGTAGATTGGATAATAAAAGATAATAGAGATTCAACAAAGAACAGTTGCTGCCAAGTAGTTCCAAGATTCCTGATTGATTCATGATTTCACATTTTAAACTCTAACCCCGTTTTATTTGTATCTCCTTCAGCAGATGAGGTTAAACCTAGTTGGTCTTATATTGACTGAGTTAAGCTACACCGCGTCCCCAAACGGTCTGGTCAGACAACTACAAATCTCTGCTGGGGAGACTCGAATGACGCTGTGTGCCCTTCACAATACAGTCACCAAAATATTCCTCGGGGTCGAAGCAGAGACCTCGAAATCTTATTAGCGTAATTGTATTGTGATTTATACGGTATGATTAATCCCAAGTCGACGCTGGCTGGAGATGGCTTGACTGAAGACGGCATCAGGGCCGACAGACACTGTGGTCTGACGTGTTAACATTGTCAGATCAGATTTGTGAGGACAGTGAAGCACGGGGACAGCCACGTTCAATTGAGAAGCGAAACAAGGGACGTAACTAATGTTTTCTTACTGGAATTAATAGCCTCATTTGGTCCAGATTTGCTCTTTTATTTACTACTGATATTGCAATGTGTGGACGCTCGGCCAGATGAAGATCATTACTTGGGCTATAATTAGACTGTGTGTTCAGATCTGTACCATATCGTGGGCCGTCGCAGCACAAACTGAATTATGTATAATATTCACGTTAGTTTTTCTCTCTCTCCCTCTCTCTCTCTCTCTCTCTCTCTCTCTCTCTCTCTCTCTCTCTCTCTCTCTCTCTCTCTCTCTCTCTCTCTCTCTCTCTCTCTCTCTCTCTCTCTCTCTCTCTCTCTCTCTCGGAGTCGGACAACTTAGTACTTGGAATGCAAGCATAACATTTCGTAGGCGAGGTTTCTTTTCGAGGGAGGCAGAAAATTAATTTCATTATTTTTTTTTTCAAAACGGACATGCTAGGTTTGTTGGCGTGAATACGCCATAGACTGTATTTTGACCTAGTTGTCGTTTTCGTGGAGGCATTTTGCATATTCAGGCTCATACCATGGATGGATACAAGCACAGTTTCAGGTAAAATCACACTTTATGGGAAGTGACCTGAGCAGTACACAGAAAGCCTTCTTTTTCACTTTTTAGTCAAGCCGACTTCATCAAAGCAAAGGAGTCCGCAGGGTCGATCTTGTGCTCACACAATATTATCATTAGCAGGATTATCATCATTATTAATTCACCACGCTGCATAATCCAGA